TCGGAGTGTAGTGTTTAATATGTATATATCCAAAAGTTTCACCTTATTATGTTGCTTGGGTCTTTTGTATCATTGCTTATTATTTTGTCCACGTAATCTGTCTTATGTTGTGAATGGTATGTTAAAAGTCTCCCATTAGAGGATGCTTCTTTTCCTTGTATTCTTGTAGTTTTTGGTTTATATAGGCTTTTGCGGTATCCCTTTGTGCATAGGTATTTACACATCTCTCTGTTGTTAGATCTTTATTTTGGACAGGGCTTTTAATATTACAAAGTATCTTCCTTTGTCTCATATAATTGCTTTTGGAATTCTACGTTGGCATCAGGATTTCAGTCCACGTTGGCATCAGGATTTCAGTCCCTGCTTTTATATTGTTTTCATTTGGTAAATCTTTATCCACCTCTTTAATTTTACCTTTTTTAAAAAATGTTTATTTTTGAGAGGGAAGGAGTGTGAGCGGGGGAGGGGCAGAGAGAGAGGCAGACCCAGGATCCGAAGCGGGTTCTGGGCTGGCAACAGTGAGCCTGATGTGGGGCTTGAACTCACAAACTGTGAGATCATGACCTGAGCCAAAGTCGGGCGTTCAACCGACAGCCACGCAGGTGCCCCAGTTTTAGCCTTTTTTTTTTTAATGTTTATTTATTTTTGAGACAGAGACAGAGCATGAACGGGGGAGGGGCAGAGAGAGAGGGAGACACAGAATCGGAAGCAGGCTCCAGGCTCTGAGCCATCAGCCCAGAGCCCGACGCGGGGCTCGAACTCACGGACCGCGAGATCGTGACCTGAGCTGAAGTCGGACGCTTAACCGACTGAGCCACCCAGGCGCCCCTTAGCCTTTTTGAATGACTGTGTTTTAAACATACCTTTTGTGCACAGTATTATTGGGCTCTGCTTTACGAGGCAACATGAAAACATTTTTCAGTTCGTAGGTGACGTAAACCCATTTACACTTATTTATGTTACTGTTTGATGTCATAAACAATACAGATATGTTTGGTCTCAACTTTTTCACTTTATCTTCTGATGTAATCACTGTGAGATTGTTATATTTGCTGTTTCTTTCTCTATTTAGTGTTCGCTCTACTTTTTTTTTTTTTTTTGGTTATTAGGAAGGTTGTATTTTCATGCTGATAATTCCCTTTGTGTTAATACTCCATATAGTACCCTTAGGCAGTCCTTGTTTCTTTCTTTTTGTTTACTTTATTTATGAAAGTTGTATATATTTGAGGTATACAACATGATGTACACATATACATATTGAAATGATTACTACAGTCGAGTTAATTAACCTATCATCTCTCATAGTTACCATTTTTTGTGTGTGATGAGTATACCTGTAATTTACTTTCTTAGCATATTTCCATTGTTCAATATAGTATTACTTAAGTATAGTCATCATGCTGTACATTAGATCTCTAGACTTTGTTTTTAAGATTTTATGTTTAAGTAATCTCCATACCCAACCTCGGGCTCAAACTCACAACCCTGAGATCAAGAGTCGCACACTCTGTGATTGAGCCAGGCAGGTGCCCCATGCATCTCTAGACTTTATTCATTCTACATAGCTGACTTTGTCCTCTTTGACCAACATCGCCACATTTCTCCCATACCCCTCTTAATGTTCTACTCTGCTTCTGTGAGTTTGACTTTTTTTAAAAAAAGATTTCACATATAAATGAGATCATACAGTACAATATTTGCCTTTCTCTGTCGGAGTCATTTCACTTAGCACAATGCCCTCCAGTTTCATCCATGTTGTTGCAAATGGTAGGATTTCCTTCTTTCTCATGACTGAATGATGTTGAGTTGTGTGTGTGTGTGTGTGTGTGTGTGTGTGTGTGTGTACACACCACATCTTTATCCATTCATCCATCGATGGACACTTAAGTTGTTTTCCATATCTTGAATAATTCTGCAATGACCATGAGAGTGCAGATATCTCTTTGGGAGAGTGATTTCATTTCCTTCAGATATATACCCAGAAGTGGGACCGCTGGATCATATAGTAGGTCTAGTTTTAATTTTTTGAGCAGCCTCCATACTGTTTCCCGTAACGCCTATACCAATTTACCTTGTTTTCAAAAAAGATTTTATTTTAAAGTAATCTCTACACCCAATGTGTGGCTTGAACTTCCAACCTCGAGATCAAGAGTTGTACGCTCCGCCAACAGGTGTCCCTACTTTTTTTTTTCTTTAGTAATCTTTTATACCATCTAATTTGTCTCTCACCTTTACCTACATGGCAGTCAACGATCTCATTCATCTTTTCTCTTTTTCTTTCTCTTCTTCCATTTTTTAGTTCTTTTTCTACTTTGTCGGGACAACTTAATATCTATACGTTATCCTTCAGCCCGTGACCCCAGCGTTGTGTTAGTCTTAACTTTACGGTAGTATGTAAAATGCCCAGTGTCAGGCTTTTGCCAAAATTTCCCCATTCATCGGTTTGGGTCGGATGAAGCTCACCGTTTGGTGTAGTGCTGGTCAATAGAACCCCTTGCAGTGATGAGTACGTTCTGTCTCTTTGCTGTCCAGGACTATAACTAGCCACGTGTGGCTACCAAATTGGACAGCGCAGCTCTGTTAAATTCCTGAGGAAGGGCACAAGTGTTTTTGAGAAATTGATGCCAGTTTAATTCTCTGGTCTTGTAAGTTATTTCATCTTTTTTGCCTGGAGGCCCTGAAGAGATATTTTCTTTGTCTTTAAATTCTAATTGTTTTGTTAAGTGCTATGTCAGAGTTGGTTTTCCGGGTCAATTTTCCTTGGTACCCAAGGGGCCTTTGATCGTGTTGAGATTTGCTCAATGATCCCGGGTATGTCGTAGCTTGGTGACTATTCCGTGTGTACTTGAAGAAACTTAATTTCTATGTTTCTGAGTGGAATGCTCTGCAGAGTCCTTTGGTTGCTGGGTGGTGTTCAGTTTTCCTATATCCCCGTTGATTTTCTGTCTACTGGTTACTTTGATTCCTAAGAGAAGTGTTGAAAGTCAGCGGTTCTAAGTGTGCATTTGCCCCTTCCTTCTTTCGGTTCTTTCTGATTTGCTTCATGTATTCTGAGGCTATTTTATTAGGGCAGTCTCCCCCACAGTCGTGCTCCCCCACACTCCCTCCCATGATCTTTTGGCTGGACAGTTAGGGATTTAGTCTGTCCGCTTTGGCACTCACTTTCTGTAAGGAAGTTTGTCCTTGGGGCCAAGGGGTGGGAGGGTAGAAAAAAGGCAATGGGGATCCTTCCCACACTCTCCAGACCACTATTCTTGCCAAAGAAAAGGATTTCTCTTCCTTAGAGTTTGAGGTGTCTGCTGCTACAAGGTTACAGGTTTTTTTTGTGTTTTTTTTTTTTTGTGTTTTTTTTAGCCCTGGGGCCTACTTTGGGGCAGGACTGCTTTAAAAAAAAAAAAACCAGGGGCGCCTGGGTGGCGCAGTCAGTTGAGCGTCCGACTTCAGCCAGGTCACGATCTCGCGGTCCGTGAGTTCGAGCCCCGCGTCAGGCTCTGGGCTGATGGCTCAGAGCCTGGAGCCTGTTTCCCATTCTGTGTCTCCCTCTCTCTCTCTGCCCCTCACCCGTTCATGCTCTGTCTCTCTCTGTCCCAAAAATAAATAAACGTTGAAAAAAAAATTAAAAAAAAAAAAACAGTATTTCTCCCATTTTCTGTGTCCCACGGGGCCCCCCCCCCCCCTTCAAGCTTCATGTACTTTTGGTGTCCCTGCTGACTCTGTACCTGGTGCTTCTCTCAAGCTCTTTGTGTTTTCTTAGCCTTCCAGTTTATTCTGGTGGTTTCAGCTAGTACTGAAATGCTATTGCCTCCCAATCGTTGGCCTATCCTAGCCTTCTCTTCTGAGCTTCAGAATCCTATAGCCACCTGCCAGCTGGACGTCTATCAGTATGTGCCATAAACAACCCAGCTCAGGTCCAAGATCTATTTCAATTTCTCCTTCTGCCAACCCAGTATCTCTCTTGTTTTGCTCATCTCAATGTATGGCACCAGCCTCAACCCATCTGCTCGCGCCATTATCCTGGGAGTAATGATCTGTGCCTTTCTCCCACTTAACAGGACTTCTGTCTAATTTTGAAATATAAATATATTGTGGGAGGGTCAGAAAATATTCTGATGGTATAGGGAGTCAGGCATTTTAGAGACTGATGATCTGTAGGAAAAAAAAAAACAAAACAGTTGAAAATCCCTCCCCTCTCTGGCCCCGGAATGTTTTTCTCTCCTCCGGTTCTATATGTAGTTTCATAGCTCACCATGTGTGTTTCATGTTTTCCTGCCTTTTTTTATGCTGTTGCCCCATATTTTTGAGGGAAACTGTATTCTTGTTGAAGGATTCCATGCTCCGTCTCCCCAAGTGAAGTTGGATCTGATAACACAGCCCACTGCACCCTGTACGCATGCCTAACGCAGCTCCCGTAACACCTCATTGCAAGACTGTGTTCATACCTAAGCCTCTTCGCTGGGTTTTGAGCTCTTTGAGAACAGGCACTCCATCTTATCCCTTTTTTGTTTTCCCAGCAACTGGGACAGGTCCGGGCACCTCGTGTTAACTCAGCAGTCAGCAGTCTTTTCTTCATGGATTGCTATAGTAACACAATAGCAGGGCCATTCTGGGTTTCCCCCCGCCCAACAAAATATAATATCGAGCAAGACACAGGGTCAGGTGTCCAATGTAGCTTCTTCTAGTTAACTCTTACTGGTGCTCTGTGGAGAGAATTAGTTTCACACATCTGTTTGTTTGTTTTTTTTTGAGATAGTATTTAACATTTTTTTTAATGTTTATTTTGAGAGAGAGTGTGTGAGCAGGTTGGGGAGGGGCAGAGAGAGAGGGAGAGAGACTCCCAAGCAGGCTCCGTGCCATCAGTGCGGAGCCCGACACAGGGCTCCATCCCACGAACCGTGAGATGATGACCTGAGCCGAACTCAGGAGTCGGGTGCGTAACCGACTGAGCCACTTAGGCGCCCCTCCGTGTGTCCCATTCTGATCATTGCAGCTTGTTGTTACAGGGATCTGTGTCATTTGAGGACGTGGCTGTGGATTTTACCCGACAGGAGTGGCACAGACTGGACCCTGCTCAGAGGACCATGCACAAGGATGTGATGTTAGAGAACTACAGCAACCTGGCATCCGTGGGTGAGGATTATGGTCCACGTAACTCCTGGTACCATAGGTTTCCTTTCTTGGTTACTGTAACGTGTATGGCCTTTGTAGACTTTAACAATACTTTAGGTTCTAGATTCAAGGGTCACAGATGCTTGATTAGGTTTGAGGCACCAGGAAGCGTGATGTGTGTTGTCACTTCCCCCAATGAAAGGTTTAAATGGGCCCCCTTCCTTGTGCAGCTCATGAAGATGCACCTTCCTCCTCCATCAGAGGCCCTAGCGCTCAGACAACTTGGCCCATGTCCTCTGCCATTTCCCATTAACAGGCCTCTGCGTGGCCAAACCAGAGATGATCTTCAAGTTGGAGCGAGGAGAAGAGCTGTGGATTTTAGAGGAGGAATCCTCAGGCCAAGGTTTCCCAGGTGAGTGAGCAGAAACGGGAAGGAAGAGTGCAGAAATTCACGCTTGGGGCAGTGGTTTCCAGTAGGCTCTTTCTAGGGGCCCTTCCTCTTTGCAAATGACTGGAGGGCAGAAGGTTTACACACTTCAGGTACCTAAATCACACCTGCCCTCATTACGTTCACACTTAAGTGCTCTGGCCTGTTTTATCTTGAGGTTTTTTTTTTTTTTTTTTTTTTACGCTTATTTATTTATTTATTTATTAAAAAAAATATTTTTTTTAATGTTTATTTTTGACAGAGACAGAATGCGAGTGGGTTAGGGGCAGAGAGAGAGGGAGACACAGAATCCAAAACAGGCCCCAGGCTCTGAGCTGTCAGCACAGAGCCCGACACGGGGCTCGAACTCACGAGCTGTGAGATCATGACTTGAGCCGAAGTTGGACCCTCAACCGACTGAGCCACCCAGGTGCCCCAAGCTTATTTATTTTTTTTTTAAATATTTTTTTTTATTTTTTTAATTTTTTTTCAACGTTTATTTATTTTTGGGACAAAGAGAGACAGAGCATGAACGGGCGAGGGGCAGAGAGAGAGGGAGACACAGAATCGGAAACAGGCTCCAGGCTCTGAGCCATCAGCCCAGAGCCCGACGCGGGGCTCGAACTCACGGACCGCGAGATCGTGACCGGGCTGAAGTCGGACGCTCAACCGACTGCGCCACCCAGGCGCCCCAAGCTTATTTATTTTTGAGAGAGACAGAGAGAGAGCACAAGCAGGGGAGGGGCAGAGAGAAAGGGGGACAGAGGAGCCGCAGCCGAAGTGTTGACAGCAGAGAGCGCGACGTGGGGCTCGAACCCAGGAACCACGAGATCGTGACCTGAGCTCAAGTCAGACGCTCAACCGACTGAGCCACCTGGGCGCCCCTCTTGAGTTTTGTGGTTATCTACCACTCTTACCTATCCCCGCCCGCCTCGTCTTACACGTTCTCAGCTAGTCTGTCTCCCTTTAGTATTCTCAGTTGCCTGCCCGCCTTCCACTGCCTTGGATGCCGTTCGTTGTGGGGCATTCGTTCGTACGCGCCTCTGGTGTTCCACCACCTCTTAAATGAGTGTCAGCTATGATCTGGTCACGTTCTAGGTGTAGGGATCTAGCACCTGGGAAACTAATATCACTGTCCCGGAGCTGGCAGTCCGATACATCACGTTTGGTGGTGAGAAGAAAATCAATGCAAGACACGAAAGATAGACAACGATGTGTCGTGTGCCTGTGGAGATGATATGTCCAGGGACGACTTTTTGGGGAGGTTAACATTGGTGCACCAACATCAGTGATATGAGAGAGACAGAGCCACGTAGGCTTTGAATATTCGGGGTGGAGAGAACAGTGTGTGTCAGGGCGATAGATCCTAAAAAGAGCAAAGAGGCCAGTGTAGCTTAATGGTGGGTGGTGCGAGTGGCCGGGGCCAATATCAGAGAGTTAGCTGGGGGCCAAATTATGTTGAGTTTTTTAGGCGAGGTGAAGCACTTTTTAACAGGCTATGTTTTGTGGGCTTTGGTAAGCACTTTCATTTGGTACCGTGACAAGGGAGACCATTGTGGAGTTTTAAGTAAGTGATCTGATTTGTTTTTAAAGGATCCCTCTCACTGCTGTGTGGCAAGAGTTCTGTCGGGGGTGGTGCCCTCAGGCATGACAGTGACCTTCAGCGTCAGAAGATTCAACCTGCGGATCAAACTGTTGAGTATGATGGATATGGAAAAGTCTTCTACAAGAACACAGGCTCTGTTGCACATGAAAGAACGCACGCAGGAGTAAAAAACTTTGGATGTCATGAATGTGGGAAAAGTTACTGCAGGAAATCGAACCTTATTGAACATCTGAGGATACACACAGGGGAGAGACCCTATAAGTGTGGTGAGTGTGCAAAAACCTTCAGTGCAAGGTCATACCTCATTGCTCACCAGAAAACTCACACGGGGGAGAAACCCTTTGAATGTAATGAATGTAGGAAGTCTTTTGGTAGGAAGTCACAACTCATTCTACACCAGAGAACACACACAGGAGAGAGACCGTATGCGTGTGCCGAATGCGGGAAAACCTTTTCTGAGAAGGCAACCCTTATGATTCACCAGAGAACTCACACAGGGGAGAAGCCCTATGAATGTAGCGAATGTGGGAAAACATTTCGAGTCAAGATATCCCTTACCCAACACCAGAGAACCCACACAGGGGAGAAACCATATGAATGTGGTGACTGTGGGAAAAACTTCCGTGCAAAGAAATCCCTAAACCAACATCAGAGAATTCACACAGGTGAGAAACCCTATAAATGTGGCGAATGTGGGAAGTTCTTCAGAATGAAAATGACTCTCAATAATCATCAGAGAACTCACACAGGTGAAAAACCCTATCAGTGTCATGAATGTGGGAAATCCTTCAGGGTACACTCGTCTCTTGGGATACATCAGCGAATTCACACGGGAGAGAAACCTTACGAATGTAGCAAATGTGGCAATGCCTTCTATGTTAAAGCACGCCTCATTGAACATCAGAGAATGCATTCAGGAGAGAAACCCTATGAATGCAGCGAATGTGGAAAAATCTTCAGTATGAAGAAATCCCTTTGTCAACACCAGAGAACTCACACGGGAGAGAAGCCCTATGAATGTAGCGAGTGCGGAAACGCCTTCTACGTGAAAGTACGCCTCATCGAACATCAGCGGATTCACACGGGAGAGAGACCCTTTGAATGTCAAGAATGTGGCAAGGCCTTCTGCCGGAAAGCGCACCTCACGGAACATCAGAGAACTCACGTGGGCCGGCCCTTGCCTTTTACTGTGGAGAAAGCTTCTTTGTGAAGACTCCCATCACCGTCTGACCAAGCCCTCTGGGTCCTCTGGTCACCGGCACACAGAGCACACCCGTAACAATTAGGCTCGGACACTGGTGTGAAAATACATCCTGATTCCTCTTAGGGGCTAGCTCGTTGTTTTCGTTTCATTTGGATTCCCCTAATTAATGGTGAGGTTGAATAACTTCTTACCTGTTGACTGGCCGTTAGGGTTCTTTTCTTCTGTGCTTTGACCGTTGTGTATCCTTTACCCATTGTTTTCTGACGGGCTGCTTATCTTTTACCTCCTGGCTTTACATGTTCTTGTTTTCGTTTTTCAATATATGAGAATGTACAAACCTTTTCTCAGTCATGTGTACGGCAGGTATCTTCTCCTGGACTGTGGCTGGTTATTTAATGTTGTTAACTCTCCCGTTGAGGTTTTATGTGCGAATATTATCAGTTTCAAGGTGATCACAATTCTCCTACACTTTTCCTCTAAAGTTAAGGTTTTCCTTTCAACATGTAGAATGTTAATCTCCCCTGAGGTTGTGTGTGTGTGTGTGTGTGTATAGCGTGAATTGTACAATATATAATACTATATTCCTCTGAACACTTTCCATAAATGGTACCACCCTGTGTTGAAAGTTCTGCAGCTTGCTTTTTTCATGAAACGTTACCTGTCCTTGATCTACCCATGCTGATAAATACAGGTCTGGTGTATTCATTTCTCTCCCCCTGGCGCAAGACATTTGTGTTGTTTCTGTGTTTAGCGTCTGGATCTAAAAGTGGAACTGATGGGTCATAGAGTATAGGCAGTGTTTAAGTTACTAAGCTGCTGTGCCCCTTGCTCCAACACCCCCCTTCTACGCTGTTCTTTGCGATGCTGGGGCTGTGACTCTACAAAACATGTTTCTGTCTTGCCAGCTGCTTCCCGTGGGGCCTTGCCAATCGGAGATAGTAACCGTGAACCGTGAGCGTGAGGAAGGAAGAAGGGCCTTGCTCCTTTTCTTTTCCTCCCTGTTAGCGCCCCCTTCATCTGAGTGTCAGCCCAGTATCGCTCCCTCCCTTGCGCAGAAGTTCCTCATGGTGGCAGTTGTTTAATTCAGCACTCACAGAACAGCCAATGGTGCCCCACCCCCTCAGAAACACTAGCGGCAGCTGGCTCGTGCCACCCCCTTGGGAGTTACCAGTCCCACCCACGTGACACCACTCCCCAGCCTTCCAGTTTTTCAACCGACTGAGCCACCCAGGCACCCCAGCCAACCTTCCAGTTTTTAATAATTCCAGTTTCTTCCCTTGTTACCTTAGCCTAGCTGCTTCCTGCAGTTGCTGCCTCCATGATAATTTTAATGTTCTCTTTCTGTCCTTTTCAGTTACATGGTTAATAACTTTGTGACTAGTCAAAAATTCTTTATAAGAAGTTCTTTTCATTAAAACAACTGGCATCGTTTCTGTCTCCTAGCTGGGTTCTTTTTTTTCTTTTTTAATGTTTATTTATTTTTGAGACAGCATGAGGGTGGGCATGAGCAGTGGAGGGGCAGAGAGAACGGGAGACACAGAATTCCAAGCAAGCTCGTGCCATCATCCAGAGCCCAGAGCGGGGCTCGAACCCGTGAACTGTGAGACTATGACCTTAGCCAAAATCAAGAGTCAGAGGCTCCACCGACTGAGCCACCCCAGGCGACCCCTCCTAGCTGGGTTCTGATTGCTACAGAAGTTTTGCAACTTTATTAAATAATTGAATTCCCCCCCCCCCTCCAAATTGTACTAATTTACACTCTCATGAGCAGTTTGAGACGAAGTTTACATTATCCCACGTATACACCAGGACTTATCAGTCTTTCAAATTGTTGCCAGTCCGGAAGATGTAAAATGGCTTTGAGCCTTCCCATCCATGAATATGGTTTGTCTGTTTATTTTTTAACTCAACTTTTTTCGACTTCCATTGTATGTGACGGTTTTCTCCCATAAATTGTCTTTAATTAAAGTTAACTTTTAACAGAAATTTTGCTTGTACCTGTATATACATATACATTTCAAAATATACTGATGTATTATGGGGTTTATATAAATATTTATGTGTAACACACACACATACACACAGAAGAGATACATACTTATATGTCCATAGAAAACTTTTTTCTTTTATACGTTCATTTCATTTTGCCCACATATTTGCCACCTTTCTGCATTCCGTCCACAATCATTTTCTTCTTTGCCTGAACAATGCCCTTTAGTGGAAGTCTGCCAGTGACAAACCTCTGACCTTTGAGAATGTGTTCTTTTTTTAAAGCTTATCTTTTAATTTGTTATTTAAGTAAGCTCTAGGCCCAGTGTAGGGCTTGAACTATTGACCCGAAGATCAAGAGTCACGTACTCTACTGATTGAGCCAGCCAGGTGCCCCGAGAATGTTCTCTAATGCAGCATTTTTGATGAGCAAAAGTGAATCCTTTACCTTTAGCATTTGGTAACGCTAGGTCATAGAAAATTGATGCTGGGGCGCCTGGGTGGCTCAGTCGGTTAAGCGGCCGACTTCGGCTCAGGTCATGATCTCATAGTCCGTGAGTTCGAGCCCCGCGTCGGGCTCTGTGCTGACGGCTCAGAGCCTGGAGCCTGTTTCAGATTCTGTGTCTCCCTCTCTCTGACCCTCCCCTGTTCATGCTCTGTCTTTCCCTGTCTCAAAAATAAATAAAAACGTTAAAAAAAATTAAAAAAAAAAAAAAAGAAAATTGATGCTACATTAAATACCTGTTTTTTTTGTTGTTGTTGTTCCCTGGATATTCCATAATAAATATGATGACCCACGGTATTTGAATTAACCATCAGATGCCCCCAAATATAGCATACACTTGAGTGTATATATTACACTTTATGCATTTTTTCAACAGCATGCCCTCACCCTTATTTACTGAGTATTAAATTTATCAAGATGTCATCTCAGTGATTCTTTTAATCTTCAGATCATCCATTTAAAAAATTCAATTCTATGTTTAAATTTTTTTAATGTTTATTTATTTTTGAGAGAGAGACAGAGGGTGAGTGGGGGAGGGGCAGAGAAAGAGGGAGACACAGAATCTGAAGCAGGCTCCGGGCCCTGAGGTGTCAGCACAGAGCCTGACGCGGGGCTCATACCTACGAACTGTGAGATCATGACCTGAGCTGAAGTCGGATGCCTAACCAACTGAGCTACCCAGGCGCCCCTCAAGTTTATGTTTCAGAATTATTATTCTGTTTTGGAAAATGTCAAACATAATAAAAGTCATCTATAATAACAGAAAGCAGATCAGCGGTTGCCTCTAGGAGGGGAATTAACTCCTGAAGGGTAGGAGGGAACTTCCTGGTTGATGGAACTATTCTATATCTTGATTGGGATGTGTATTAATAGTTATGAAATGAGTAAATTTAAGGTTTTTGCACTTGCTTGCATGTAAATTATGTCTCAAACTTTAAAAACAATAATAAAAAGTTCCCTGTTCCCATACCAGGAGCTGGATGTGGGCTGCCTGGGAGAAAAAGACACCGGCAATGGGAGACTTAGTCCCAGGGCTTTAGAAATGGCTTTGCTCCATGAAAATGACCTTCACTGAGGCCCCATGATGGGTTGTGCTGGCCTCGTGTTAGGGAACGTCATTTACATGGTGATCCCTCACTGCCAGCACTGCCGTGCGTATTTGACTCGCAACAGCTTAAGCACAGTCTCCTTTGATTCTCCATTGGCCACCACCACAGTAGTTTTTACCCCCAGAATATGTCCGCATGGTGACTACCAACACCCCATTAACTTAACAGCACTTCTTTTCACCCCTGCTAGTCTAGAGCACAATGTCTGTACAATGACCTACCATCAGCCCCAATATCCCGTCTTATCACAACTTTTTACTCCCACCAAGTCTACTGACCCCCCTCCCAGCTCGTCGCATCACGTCTCGCCACCCCTCTCAGTTGCCATGACAATTTTTGCTGACCTGTTTGCTCATCGCGGAGTCTCTTCACGCCTTTAGCCCCAGCTTTGTGACTGATGATCCTCCATTAACTCAATATCATGCTTTTTGTCTCGCTTTGGACTCAGCGTGGTGACTGCTGACCTCCCATTAGCTCACAGCAATGTGTCTTGTCACCTTCCTTTAGACCTAATGTAGTGTCTGTTGACCCATATCGGCAGTGTCTGTTGCCCCCCTACTGGCTACCATGCAATACATTCAACCCAGTGTGTTCTAATCACAGCGTCTGCTCTTCCTACTTTAGATCCTATCATTATGTTGATTGTTACTGGCCACCGAACGAACCCACAGCTCAGCACAGCACAGTTGCGCCAGTATCTATCTGCTGTTCCCCAGTTAGCCACCAGCGTGGTGACTTTGATCCTCCTGAGCCCCAGTAGACCATCTGCAGAACTTGGATGACCTTGTCACTCTGTCTTCGGAACCCCTATTTACGAACCTTCAAGTTTTTTAACCTTCAGACCCAGTGATGTCTGCTTAAAATAGCCCCCATCACTGTGTCTTCTCACCCAACACTACAGCCTGTCAGGGTATGGGCTGACCATACACCAGTGCCTTTTTATTTTTAGCCACTAGCTGAGGATGAACTCCTTGAGGATGTATCACCATGGTTTTTGTCCTTATAGTAGTCAAATCATTGTGTCTGTTAAATCTCCTCCCTTTAACCACTAATATTGTGTCTTTGACCAGTTGAAGCCCCAGTAAAGTCTGGTGGCCCCACATTGGCCCCCATCATGGTGTCCATTGATCCTCCATTAGCCAACAGTAGTTTCTTGGACACCCATGAGGCCCCAGCAATGTGTTTGCTGACCCTCCTTAGCTACCATCCCTCTGTCTGCTGATCCCCAATTAGCCGTAAGAGCAGAGACTAACTTCCACGAGCTTCCAGTACAGTATCTGCTGATTCCACATTAGCCCCATCTTGCCGATCACCCTTTAGCCATGAGTAGAATGTCTTTCACCCTCTGAAGTTCCAATCATGGTGTTTGTGACTGCATGAACCCTCATCACTCTGCTCCCTCATTAGCCACTAATACAGTGTCAGAATGCAACGATCCCCCAGCACAGTGCTCGTCACCCCATGTTAGCCTCAACACTGTGACTGCTCGCTAGTTCAGTCTTTGCCTCATGCTTCTCAGTCACGACATCTGCTGCTGACACCGGATTACTGCCATCCCTATGTCTACTAATGCTGGTCACAAATACGGTGTTTTTGGTCGTAAAAAATCAGCCCAGTGTCTGCTGACCTCACGTTAGCCTTTCGTCATTCTGCTGATTAGCCATTAGCCATCACTAAAGTGGTTTTGTCTCTATCTCAGCATCAGTTCATTTACCACCCGCATCCCTGTGGCTGCTGGTCCCTCATTATTTGCTAGTACGGAGTATTTGCCTCATGAGCCTCAGTATAATGCCTGGGACTCATTAGAGCCTACCCTACATTAGAGCCCTTCATGGTTCGGATGATCCTGTATTAGTCACCAGTATAGTGTCTGACCCCCGTTAGTCCCCTTGGCTGTATCTGCTGGCACTAGATTAGCTCCCATGACTGTGTCTGTTGAATTCCCACTAGTTATAAGTACAGTGTCCTTAATCTCTGTGATTACTCCCGTTTCTGATAAACCTATGTTAGGACCAGCCGCTGTTCCCTGATCTCTGTATCCCGGTTTATTGGCTGTTTCAATCCTTGTGATCGGTCTTTAGACTCTGGCGGTTCCCCAGTGCCTCAGACTATTTGATTTTTCTGTTCCTTGCGCTTCAGAGACTATCCCTTGGTCTTTTTTTGCTGTGGTCTCATCCTCAGGGTCTACCCCCTGTTCCTCTGGTTGTTTTGCAGTCCCTCTGATTGTCTTCCGCATACAGGGACTATTTTGTGGTCTCTCCAGATATTTGTTGATCCTACTGTTCCTCGGGTCCAAACACTGTCTCCTTGTCCCTCCAGCTGTTTCTTTGTTTCTCTGGCTGTTCCCTCAGCCTGAGATTGTTCCCTTATCTCTCGGGGCTGTCTCCTAGGTATTTCTGGCTGTCACATGCCATTCAGGAATGGTTTCCTCTTCCATTTGGCTGTTCTAGAGTCTCTGTCCCTCTGGCTGTTTGATAGCCTCTTTGTTGCACATCACTGCGGTGACTGATCCCTTGCCCTAAAGCTGTTTTCTAGTGACCTGGAATAGTTCCTCAGCCCTGGCCTGTCTGGAACCACAGACGGTTCCTGCTGCTTCTGGGTGTTCCCCAATGCCTGGAATAATTTACCTTCCTCTCCCAGTTGTTCCCTCAATCCTGGGTGTGTTCGCACCTGCTTATTTTCTGGTGTATCCAACTGTTTCTCAGCACCAAGGACTGTTGCATACACAGGATGTGGCTGGGGCTGTTAAACAGCAAAGAGTGTCAGCCTGCAGAGGGAGCACCTTCCTTCCAGGTAGCTCCCTTTATTTATTTATTGTTTAATGTTTATTTTTGAGAAAGACAGAGACAGAGCGTGGGTGGGGGAGGGGCAGAGAGGGAGAGGGAGACACGGAATCTGAAACAGGCTCCAGGCTCTGAGCTGTCAGCACAGAGCCCGAAGCGGGGCTTGAACTCACAGATTGTTAGATCATGACCTGAGCCGAAGTCGGATGCTTAACCGACCGACCCACCCAGGCACTTGCCTCCTTTAGTTGTGGCTGCCATGAAGAGGCATACCCTACAGACAAGCTTCCTACTTCAGAGTCCTTGTGTGGCTCCTGGTAGGAGATCTGTAGTCCTGAGGTCACTCCATTTCCTCCCATTACCCTTCTAGAAAATCCGCTAACGTGAGTAAGGTCAATTACCCACCCCTCCAAAGCCAGCATTCCACGTGTCTGGGTGTGAATCTCTGCTTAGGGGAGAGACTGATGACTGAGAGGAAGCACGCGGAGGGGTGTCAGCCCTGTGACATGCGGTACATGTCAGTGGGTACATGGCGGGGGGGCGGTACAGCTCAGTGGGTAGCCTGGGGGCCAGCCTTTCCCTCACCTGAGCCTCAGTACT